CTGTTGTTATTCCTCACTTCGGAGAGCTTCGCCCCTTCCATTACTTCTTTCGATATTGACACTGGGCGCTGGCGTACCCTTTTTCCCAGAACACCTCAATTTATTTTTCCTCCTTCCTCTTGTCCTTGAAATTGAAGACATCACATCTCGCCAGCCATTCATCAGCGTGCTGTCTGCGTGTCGTGCATAAATAATCGTCTCCCACGACAATCCCTGAGCAAATTCATCCCAACCATTAAAATATTCCCCCGGACGATCAGCGAACCGCTTCACAGTGCTGGCTGTGGTGTGCTGCCCACCCGCAGTACTCGTCTGCAGACAACCAGCGGCATTGGATTTGACTCCACAAAGAAAAGGGCGTCCCACAGCGGAAAGTCCTCCACCTCCGGCATGTGCAACGCCCAGCAATTTACACCAACCTTCTCGGAAAAGTATTCCAGTGACAGTAAAACACAGTGCCTGGTGGGGCGCTCCTGTGAGTACACCTCCAGCGCACTGCGGTGTGGCTGACGTCGTGTTGTTCGCTTCAGATCCCTCAGTTTGTGTCGTACTGCAGTTATGAAGTCCTCACCCAAAAATGCAATCACGGTGCACTTTTCCATTTTTTTTTTTGATACTAAATTATGCTGGAGTCTCAATATGAGTAAATGAAAATCATTCGGCTGCATTAGCATTGCCAACATGCACAATGTTTTATTTCCAGGATGGGCAGATATCGGCGCATTGAAATGCCACCCGAAATTGCACATTCACTCTCGTACTCGTACAACCTTCGCAAGTCAGTGGAACACGTTATTATCGTCCCACGTCATAGAATCCCCCAAAACAAAGCCATACCCGGTTTCCAAAAAGGCCATCCCATCCACGGCTTCGTGACACTTCTCAATACAATCATCATATGCTTGCTCATCAAAGATGTAGCGGAGAAGCGGTCCCACATTATCCATTCGACCCTTCACCTCGTGCCCGTAATCTGCTTGCCGCTGCGCAGGCCGATTGTGCTTTTTCCAAACGCACATTGCCCTCACATCGCTCTCGTCAGGGCAATTCATTACTATTCGTGTGGCTCCAACTTGCTCCGCCCAGTGTTAGTGTTAACTCGCGTGTGGTGAAGTCACCAAAATCATGCCCCATCCCTTGCAAGACAAAGCAGTAGACGGTTGACAACCCTTCATTGCCACGTCGTAGATAAGACACCCCTTAAACCCACGGCCAGACAAGCCGTCCACAATATTCAGGGTGTCCGGCTCAACCACGTCTTCTGACATCGTCTGGGTGGTATTGTCAAACAGGAATGTTTGTTCCGCAATAAAGTACGCAATCACAGGGATTTGCTCCGCACCGCAGTGCAGCAGCTGGTAAAGGAGGTACGAACCGGCGGCCATCGACTTCCCAATCCCGGGCGTCCCAATCAACACACGCGGCAAAGGTGAAGAATTGAGAGTCAAATCAAAATTGCTGAACCACTTAGTTAGATCGCCGCTGACGATCTGCCACGCTCGATCCACCTCACAGTTAACACACAAGTCATTACCACATCTATGCGGCCCTTTCCCACGTGTACGGCCATCCCTCGTCCGAGGTGCGCGCCATCAGCCTGAGACGCGGTGCACCGGATTGCTGCACACCGTCATCCTCTTCGAGGGTTCGGCCAACTGCCCTGTACGTCCATGACTGCGGTGGTTCCCCCTTCCCTCTCCTCCATTACCGTCCTCTCGCCGCCAGGAACTTCCACGACATGATGCCACCTCGCATTGTACACAAGCCCGTACTGTCCCTCCAGCGTGTATCCTTCAACCACCTTCGTTGAATTCAGCGCCCGTGAGATGGCCATGTTTATTTACTCCTGCGTGAATATTGGTTATATGCCTGTTTTCGTAGTTGGATTGAGTTAAAGCTGAACATTGGCCGCTAATTAAAAAATAAATAGGAGGAGAAGACAATATTCACCGGCATGAATGGCAGCCACAGCAAGAGAGCAATACGCACGGCGTAATCGCACAGTTTGCGATGCACACCACATCCACAGAAACCACCGCAACGACGGCAAGTCGGTGCCATCCACCCAGCACAGCGCTGGAGAGAGCAAACGATAACAACATTGGGAGCAACAAGAGTGACGAGCGCGCCCTCCCCACACAGTCATCGTGAAAGAGGGAAAAGTCATGCAAGCAGACGCTCAAAATAGAACCATGTCACAAAAACAAGCATCAAAAAAGTGCCGGTGCAAGAAGCAATAAATTCTGTGGCACGCAGCAGCCGTAGCCTCGCGCCCTCCCCTCAACCAGTACCGTGCAATTACCGGTTCCACAAAGCTAAATCCACATAGCAATTTTTTTTGGCACCCCACAGGACGGCAGTGGCAGAGAAAGCATTCCAGCACACAACACCATTTTCTTCTTTTTTCGTGTACTTGTGGAGAAAATTGTATCCCTCCACTGGCAGATAACACTGTGACCAAAATTCACACCAGAGTGAGAATGCAAAAGAAACAACGTATAAAATATGCTGCCATTATTAAGTTATTGCCCTCTTCTTCCGCGTGAAACCTCAAAAAAGAGTGGCAGTGTTTTATCACTGTTTAAAGCACAGTACCCCAATTGCCCCATAATGCTGCCGCATTGACTATTGATGTTAGGGGGTTGCGGCACAAAGAAACACGTGAGCCACCGTGCCGCAGTAATGTGTCGTTCCGCTGTTGCCGCAGTGGAGGCACGTCCATTTCTCACCGTTCCTCAGGTAGAGTATCGCCCTGCAACCCAAACGCCAACATCTCCCACTCCTAGTCCAAATAGCGTCGCGAAAGATGAAGTACGGTAATGACGTTGGAACCACGGTAGGTTGTGTAATAGAATCCAGGCAGGATATCCGTTGGTCCTACGTGCGGAACAATGTGAACGCGAGTATATCTCTTTTTTAATTATCACCAGTCTTTCTCTTTCATTGTGTTTTCTCAAATAAATTCGACGGCCCGCACGCCGGCCACCATCGTCGAGCACGTCCGCCCTGCTGAGTAGAGGTGGAAAGGAGAGCCCCGGCACCCGGAGAGGCAGCTGCAGCTGAGGCCGTGAACCGCAGCCCCGTTACGCCTCCGCCCCGGGCTAGCGCCGTGGCTCAATCATCCGTTGCTGCCGAGAATCTCTAAAATAACAATTCCATAAATCAATCAACCAGGCAGTCAATAAATAATGAAAAGTGTGGAGGCACCTGCCAAGAGCATCGACGTTATGCCGCATCTGCGAAAGGCTTCGTGCCTCCACGCCGCGCAGAGGCGCTGTTGGGGGCAGAGCCTTTAAACCCCGAGGAGAAAATGCTCTCACCTTTTCGTGAGGCGGAGCTTCCTCGCTTCCCAAGCGTCCACTTCATGTTTTGTCTAATTTACTGCAGAGCCGGGCAGCGGAGTAGATGCGGAACTGTCTCATCGCACAGTTCACGTTGGATTGGTTTCGCGATCCCCGGCCGATACCCGTGGCGTGCCGTGCCGTGTGGTGGCGGGTCAGTCCGTCATTGCCGCGGCACTAAAAATCGCACGTTGGGCGGCAAAATTCGGGCGCTGGTGATCCCATCGGGGGTGCCGTCGCCGGGTGAGTTGCGCCCTCTCGACGGCCTGAAGTTAGCGACGGTGTGGCCTGCATGAATCAACAGGGGTGAACCAAATTTCTTTTTCTTTTTTTTTTTTTTGTGCACGCGCTGCACTGCAAACCTTATCGATGATAATTTCAACACCACATCGTAAAAACATGCAAGAGACAATCTCTCTCCCAATCATAATTGATCCGCTCAAAAAAAAAAAAAAAAAAAAAAGAGAAGGCGTTTCCGCTGGAAAATACCCGTAAAAGACAAGCCACGATTTGCTGCCAATATTACAACTGCACTGAACGCAGCACGCATCATCCCCGACCGAGCGGGTGTTGAAGTTATTTTGAACTAAAAGAGTTGGGATTAATAGAGACGCCCGCTTCCTCCCAGTCCCCTTTAGGGGGTGCTCGTTGTTTACGAGTCGCATCGTTGAAGCCTATTAAACATGTGCCTCAGCACACCACCAGCTGTGCAGTTTGCAGTCCTTCTGTTCTGCAGACTCCCTTCTGTCCCTTTTACCCCTTTCCAGTAATTTTAATGGTTCGTGAGGTTGGATGGAGTGTTTCCGAGGTAAATGACAAAATTTATCCACAAATCAAAGTCTCCATGAGAAGTGCAACACCCAAATGACCCCTCCTTCTTGCGCGTGAGAGACACGATAAATACCTCCCAAAAGTTTGCGGTTTTTACTTCTTTTTTTTTTTTTTTCAGCATTCCGGGTTTTTCACGTTCAAAGTTACGCATAAACGCAGTAAAACGCCGTGGAAGACACAATGGGGGCAAAGCGGTTGATGGTGTCGGGAGTTCAAAAGGGCGGTTAAGCCGCGCCCGCACCGTCGTTGGCTCCGGTCATCCACCGGGGGGGGGTGGGGGGCTCCACGCAGCCACCCCAGGGCAATTACGCAAACCCGCAGGAAATGAATTCACGGTGAACTCCTCCCACCCTCCCACCCCTCACAACAAAATAAAAAAACGCAACCATGACATTTGCTCAGGTCCCCATCCACGTGAAAGTGGAGAAAAATGGTCGGCATTCGTCCTTCTTGAAGGGCGCCATAAATCATAACTTCACTCGAGAGACCATCAAACTGCCCATTTAACGGGAGCCAACTTACTTCTGGGTGAGTGTGTAGAGGGAAAAACCTAACAGAAAAGGAAAAAGAAAATGGAAAAAGACCTTTTGAAAAAAAAAAAAAAAAACAATTCCCCTTTCCATACAAGGGGCAAGAAAGAAAATAAAGGGAAAGTTTAAAAAGAAAAAAAAACACAGAAAACAGCCAAAACAATACGAAGAAGAAAAAAAAAAAAAAAAAGGCACGCACATGTCCGCATGTACGTATTTAATTATATGGTCCTTACTTAAGAGAATGTTATCTAATGCGGCAAACACCGCAGGAATGGAGACAATTCTCCTTACCGCACTACAGCCCCTGCAGACGTTCCCTCTCTTGCTGAAGAAGCATCTGTTGTTCGTCACGTTTAGAAGTCTTTCCTTTCATTTGTGTTTGTTCTGCAAAGGCAGCGGCTTCCTTAATGAATTTCTTTAGTATTTGATTGTCCAGTTGCCGCTTCTCAAACTCTTTTCGGTGCTGGATTAAAAAGTTCTCCCGCGCCGCCGCCCGCTCCGCTTTGTGTTGCTCTAATTCCTCGAGCTCAATGGCTTTTCGCTTTGGAATTTCAAGTTCTCTGCATGCCCGTTCAAAGTGGTTCATCTTCGTTACATCTGCCGTTTTCTGCTGCGTCGTCTTTTTGAGATGCGCCGTCAACAGCGTCGTTAACTCCTGAACAAAGTCCGTGGAAGCTCGCAGCGTCAACGCCGGAGGAGCATCAAACCCCTTGTACTTTTCCTTCAGACGGCGCAGTACAACCTTTCGTCTGTTTTGATTGATGTGCTCCTGGTACTCTGCGAGGCCCCGAGCCTCCTGCGCCAGGCGGACCGCCTCCTTCTTTTTTTCTTCGTTCTGAATACGTTCCAGTCTGGCATTCTCGCGCTCTGCCTCCTCCCTCTCTTTGGCACTCTGTCGTCGGGCCTCCGCAGTCTCCTCGCAGGTGTGCTGCAAGCGGTGAATAATGCTGCTTCGATCATGGGCACGCAGGAGATGCTCAGGCCTGATATCAAGTTTCCTTCGGAGCGCAGGTGGATGAAAGTCCACCCGCTCCGCCAATGCATCGAATGCCTCCAGCACCCTCATCTTCGTCGTGTTGCTGAACGATATGAACCCCGTTTTGTGATCAATCTCCACCGCAATCCCGGATTCGTTCAGAATATACGGCTCAATCTCATGGATGTAAACTTCTTCCGATGCCTCATTCTCCCCTATTTGGAGCGATGATGCCTCTACACGGGTTGTTCGAACCGCCATGCACTCCAGGTACCTCTGAATGACCACTTTACGCAGGGGTTTTTCGTACATCTCCAGGCTAGGGTCCTTCTGAACAATAATGGAGAGCTGTTTAATGGCCTGTCGTGCAATATTTTCATCGGACATCTCGTTCCGTAATAATCCGTCCAGTGCTTGTACCTCGGGGAAGGCTTTCTGAAAAACCTGCATCCGTTGAAGCCGTTGCCAAAGCGCCAGCCCCGCTGGAGCTGATTGAAGACCAAAAAGCTGGGCAATCCGAGCATTCTTCTCAAACACAGAGTCAGACCCTCGCTCAAAATTCCTTCGTTCCTTGTTAGTATTAGGCACACAGAGAGTTGCCAAAACCGCCCTGGAAGCCGCCGCTGCCGCTTCACCCCCGTTACCGGTCAAAAAGGCGGCAACACCCAAACAATGGGCATGAAACGCGTAATGCGAGCACTTCCAAAAAACAGCAGCCATTGCCGAATTGGCAATAATCTGGCACTCCCTGGAGGGATCGGGGTGTTGTGTGATCTCCTGCATTACCCTCGTAAAGCACTGCAGCGTTGACCATGCGGCGTGCCAACTATTCATCTCAGTCAAAGTTTGCAGGAGATGACAAAAGACCCTCACCGCACGGTCCGTATTTGGCTTTTCCTTATAAAAATCTTCCCTGTCCGCTTCCAATTCCTTATGCATTGTGATCAAGTGTGGATTATCGGTCTCCACGATCGACGGGATGGGGCTAAGGAGAAACCTCCTAAAAAATCGCACATATGCGTCGGCGATACGCCCAATAGCCCGCTTCAAGTTGTGTTGTTGGCAGTATTTAATCAACTCCGTGGCGGTGTCAAGGTAGATTGGAAGAAGCTTCCTCGAATGACCAATGGCGTTAAAGCTTAAAAGCTCGCTGCCCAGAAATTGTGCGACGGTCTCCGCAGGGACAAGGTAGCGCTCCTTCGCCCGTTGTGCAGGCGACACCCCTGAGAGGGCAGCAAGGATGAGCTCCTCTTCCGAGGGGGTTTCTCCTGTTGCCTTGGCGTTGGTGTGCGCTCTCTCACCCAACGCTCGGAGGTGTTTCATCGCAATTTCAACAATCCGTTTGGTCCCCTCCTCCAGGTGCTGCGAGCCACGCAGTTTGTTGCGGTTCCATTTGAACGCAGGAAAGAAACGGTCCACCGTAATGCCCTGTTCCTGACTGAAGCAGAGCTCCGCAAGTAAGTCAAGGGCAGCAATGTACATTGGCCCCCACTGGACCCCATGCTCCGATAAGGACTGAAGAGCTGCCACTGCCTCCTTGTAGTTGCCGCTGGCCCTTAAAGTCTGGGCCTTCGTCAAGCAACCGCGCGTTTTATCCTCCGTGCTCATTTCCTCCTGTTTTTTTTTCTCACTTCTCGTCTTCACTTTCTCTCGTTTCTTAAAGGTAAGACAAAAAAAAAAAAAAAATTTAAATAAATAAAGAGATAAAAAGGCTCCCTTCACTTTGGTCGCTAGCAAGCACATCGATAGTGGGGAGGAAAACAAAAAAAAAAACTTTCTCTTCTCCTCCCTTCTTTTATGTTCCCGTGTGTGTGGGTGGGTGTTCAGAACGCACAGGAAAAATGCAGACCAAATGGACAGAGAAAAGCATCGCACACGCCCCGCTCCAGTAACCCACGTGGCGGGGCGGATTCCGCAGGATGGTAGAAAGACCGTGTCACCGCAGACCGTCTCTTCGCATCTGCTCCTCCCTGAGCTCGATCGCCGTCGCCTCCCTTGAAAGAGAGTGCAGTCTGCACTGCAGCGCCGCTGCCCGTCTCATTATCTCACGCGTGTCAGCTGCTCCCTCACTCTCCATCCTCGACACCACAGTCCGCATGGCGTCCATGAGCGCATCCAACTTCTCCAGCGTGTCTACAGGTCCTGTCATGCCTGTCGCGCGCCCTACAATTCCACTGCCCACCGCAATGAAGGTGTACAAAAAAAAAAAATCATAATAAACATGAAAGCAAATAAATAATTAAATAAACAGAAATGACCCCCAAGACACATGCAGCCATGCTAAAGAACAGCAACCACCAAAGATCCTCACCCATCAAAGTAGAAAATATGGCAAGTTACTGCAGCACAATGATATAAGAGGCTGTCGTAGCCAATGTTAGCACGTTGAGAAAAAGAGTATCATGTGCTCAAGAAAAAGGAGCGGCCTGGTACGAGAGAGTAAATTTTTAGAAAAAGGACAAAAAACAATAATAATAATAATAATATGGGAAGGAAAAAAAAAGAAAAAAGAACAAGCGACGTTTAGTGCAACGCTCACTCTTCTTTTTTGTTTGCTTGTTTGTTTGAGTACCTTTCTGCTGTGTATTCTCTTCTTGCCTGCCCCGTGTCCACGAAATCACCTCTTTTTTATTCGACTCGATGCGCAAAGTCCATGGTGTCGTCACGGTTAAAGACACCCGCCAACAGGCATCTCGGCGCACCGCTTGCAAGAGTTCAATACCCCCCGTTTGAGAGTTTCGACGTCCAACGCAATTTTATCCAACGCCATGGGCCTTTTCGCAAGGCGTCCTCAACACCACCACCGCCCCACGTGTGCCCGGGGCCCTGAGCCCCAATAACGCATCCAGTCAACCTCCCCCCCCCCCTGGACTTTCGCCCTTCTCCTCATTGAGGCATGCCCTTTTAGCTGCGCCACGCTTATGGCGTAATGTCTCTGCGGCACCTTTTAATACCGCCACCGAAGACTGTGATGTTTTGACGGGCACGGCGCCCCTCTCGCCGCCGGGGCGAAAACGCCCGATCCGTGGATGACTCGTGAGCGGAGGGCACCATTGCCAGTCAGGCGTGGACCCGCACCACGCAAGGGAGTAGCGTCGACACTGTCACTGGGATGCATCACATCGTTCTCTTTGCCTCTGGTGGCTTTTGTGCAGCCAAAGACAAAACGGAAAAAACAAGAAGAAAACAGACAAAAGGAAAAAAAAAAAAAAGATGATGAAAAGCATTTCTCCCAAACTGTTTCAGTGATGCCACAACACGTAGCCCGTGGCTACGTCGGCTTTGCCACCCAGACACACAGGGATAGATAACGGAATTCAGCATGCAACCCATGGGTTCCCCTCAAATCCACCCGCATCCTATTTTTACCGACAAAACCGCCTCTTCTGTTTGCTTTTTTGGCTGCTGTCATTTCATCGTCGTAAAAGCGACCTTTACGACAGACCCAAGTCAAAAAGTATCCATCCACTGCTCTTCCACATGACGCACGGTCCATGTGTAAACGTATTTGTAAAATTCTTCTTAAATTTTCCGCTACTTTTGTGTCGACCCCCTCCCCTCCGCTCTGCTCTGCTCTTCGTTCATGTCTGTCGTCAAAGAAGTGTGTCCCCGCGCACAGTGATGGATCCAAATTTGGGGTAAGGCCCTGTTGCACCGGGCGTCTTCACCATAAGCCACATGAAGTATGAGGAGATGCCTCCAAAAAGATGCCACATGCCGTGATATATGCGGCATGGATCTTCCGTATCGTTTAGTCCGGCAATAAAAAACGGAACGGCGAGGCACATAAATATAGCAGCAATGATAAATTGACGATACTCAATCGCCGGAACCTGCCTAGTGTACAAGAACACCGCAACGGGAATGCAGGCAAAAAGAGTAATAGGCACTACGGTGTACGCAACATTCCATGGATCCTTCTCCTCAATGATGATACTCGCCAGAAGTGTGAAGTACTTGACGCTGCGCTCCACAACGGGGTCTTTAAAGGTACATAGAAACACAAACCACATGCCTACTCCAGCAAGAACAGCAATGTTGTCTAGCCGGTGCCAGCCAAGCTCGTCAAGAAACATCTCCACGTCAAATGACTGGCAGGTGTGGTACAAAAGAGACGATGCAAGACCAAAGGCCGCAACACATGCCTCATACACATAACGACGCTTATAAAACAAAACCGCCGTTGGAATCATCGGTACGTGACTTACGACCGTCGTCGCAAACAGGGCCCACGCCGGCTCATCCCTCATTTTGTACAGGCGTTTCCAAACCACCCTTTTGCTCACCTCCACAAAATAAATTTCCGCTGGTCTGAACCAAAAATTATACAAAAACAACAATAAAAATATATTTTTATTTTTATATAAATAAATTAAAAAAAAAAAAGGAGTAAATATGAAAAAATAATAATAATAATAATGGCCCGTGCCTTCACCGCCTAGCACTCCGCCCTGTCACTCCTTTTGTCCTTCTCCCTCCTACACAAACAAACAAACAAAAAAACGCCTAAAAGAAAAGAAAATAAAAAAGGAGAAGAAAAGGAAAAAGAGAAGAAGAATGGATCCCCCCGCCCCCCACAAGACCACCCCGCCCACCTCCAACGCACACAAAAAAAAAAAAAAAGAAAAAAAAGAAAAGAAAACCCCAGTCAGGAGGGAAGATCCATGAGAGGCAAGACCTCCACACGCACACACTCAGAGAGAGAGAGAGAGAGAGAGAGAGAGACGCACACGCAGGGAGAAAGAAAGAAATAAAACAAAATCACAATTTACCACGCATTCAAAAATAATTCCCCGCCCTTATCGATTTGCATATAATTATTTATTTATTTATGTTTATATGTGTGTGTACTGAAAAGGAAAAAAGAAAAAAAATATTAAATAAATATTCCAACAAATAAATAAATAAAGGGAGGAGAAACAAAAAAAGAAAACGCAGCAGAAACAACAACAACAACTTATATAATAAAAAAGAGAAAAAACACCACCAAAACAAAAACAAAAAAAACAAAGCAGCACTTCAACAACAACAACAATAATAATAATAATAATTTTAAAAAAAAGCATGTCACCTTTCCGTGGAAAGAAAGAAGGAAAAAAAAAAAAAAAAAGAGAGAAAAGAGAAGAAGTAGAGGGGGATGTGTTTGTGTGGGGGGTTGCGCTCATTTCACACATCAAAACTTGGAGACGTCATGCTCATCTTACGACTGTATGAGCCTTTGCCCCAATCCCCAAGCGCAAGAAATATGTTGTAAATACCCATCCCCACCAACACGTGGAAAAGACCGTGCCACGCACGGTACGTGTCCCTGTCCTCGTCAAGTCCCCGGAGAAAACAAATCACACCCAACAGAGATGACGCCATGCCCACGTATAAATTCTTTCCCGCAATACGGCGCCGCCGTATGGGGCTTAACAACATGGCTACAAGTACCATGGCCAATGCACATAAAATGGGTATGGCGGTGTACAAAATATTCCAGGGGTCAGCTTCCTGAAGAACGATAGTAACAAAAAGAAAAAAATACTTAAGATAATTCACTAGTTTCTCAGATTCAAAGGAGCACACATGAAGGCAGACTATAGTAATGGAAGAAATGGCCCCGATGTTATCCAGACGATGCCAGCGGATTGTCGAAAGAAACAGCGGTGTCCTGAGAGACTCAGATGAATGATACAGAAAAGAAACCAGGGTAGAAAAAACCGATACGCAGACTTCGTAATGCATTCCTCGTTTTTGAAGATATCGAATGGCCGGGAGAAGCGCAAGATGACTCAAGCAGCACGTTATAAATGTCACCCATGATGCTTCGTTGCGGTTGTACCTTGGACGCATTGTTTTATTGTATTTTATTTTATTTTATTTTCACACTTTTTAACGTCTTCAATTTTGATTTTTGTTTTCGTTTCGTTTAAAAAAAAAAATAAATAAATAAAATAAAAATAAAATAAAATAAAATAGCACGATCGCTGCACTTCCTATGGACTTTGCCTGGAAATGGGAAAAGAGAGGGAAAAGACTACAAGTGACGATGTAAAAAAAAAAAAAAAAAGAAAAGAAAAGGACAAACGACATGCAGGCACAAGAAAGATGTACACTTCACAACGGAAGCATGCAGAGGCAGAGAAGAGCGCCCGCACATCACATCTCAGCAAAACAAAAAATATACATATATTTTTTTTAATATGTGAAGAGAGGGGAGGGAGGGGGAGAATGCTCTCGGTACTCTTCAGTCTGTCTCGCCTCATGCGTGGTGCTCCCTCGTCGCAGCGTACATCCAAACGCCCACGTCACCACCACCACCACCACCTCATGAGGCGCTCATGCAGTCGCGCAATGCAGCGGACAATTTTACCGGAATGCAACGCTTCTCTAAAAACAGACAAAGTGAGTGCCAAGACACCACGCGGCGGGTCTGTAATCGCCGCCCCTGCCATGGCATTCGCCCCCCTGCAGGACGGGGTGTTCAGCATGCGGTATACATCCCAGCGTGTAAAAAGCTTTCTTCCGTCCCTGGTGCCGCAGAGTTTCCGCAAATAGTCCCCGTGCAAGACACTCCGCGTTTCTCGCCTCCTCTTCCACACGTGGGTCGCAGTCAATTCGTGCCATAAAGAAGAGAAAAAAAAAAAAAAAACGTCAATTGCACCGGAAATGACATCTTCCACGGCCCATAAAAATTGAACTTCACGGCAAACCTTCTGCGTCACGACTCCGTCTTGCCTGTGCATTCTCCAACATGGAAGGCGGCACCGCGCGCAATCAAAGCGGTCACCAAATAAAAATGGGCAAGCGGTAAATGACTGCCACGCGCAAGACACATACCCGGGCGCAGAAGGTGTAAAATTGAACAGCTTCCGCCAGAGCGCAATGCACCGCAGGAAATAAGACACCGACGTTCTGGAGAATTTCCGCCCCCTCCAGAGACGTCCATCAATTCTGCTCTAAAAGAACCGTCATGTAAGCGGGGCCACGTTTTTCAATGTCCACGGCAGCCGACTTCCCTTCCACTCGCAACAGTGTTGCAAAAAGGGCCTGTCAGGCAACGAAGCACCCTCCCTTCGGCCTTCGCCAAGGACGACGCAACGTCCCCCCTAAAGATCCAAATTTACCCCTCCACACTTGCCGCAACCAAAACTGGGGAGAAGCGACCTGCCAAGATCCCCACGCACTCGGACACGAGAATGACCATCCGGCTCCGCCCGTCACACCAGACGGCGAGAAAGACAAAACCCTCCGGAAGGAACGTCGGTGCCAAATTCGAGGAGCTCCAACCCGCGCCGGCACGCAGCACACCTGCCAAATACTCACAAAAGCACCAAGGGGGGGGGAAACGCTCACACCAAGTAAACAAAAGGGCCAATCCGGTCGAGTTCCCCACCTGTAATTACACAAAGTGTGTCCAAGCGCAGGAATTCTAGTCGCAAAAAAAAAAAAAAAAAGAAAAGAAAAGGAAAGAAAAACCGACACAAAATGTTTCTTATTTTGTTTTTCACCCTTTCCTTTGCAGCACCCAACACATACATTTATACTTATATATACGTAGACCGAAAAGGAGCAAACATCAATCGTCAGGTGTCAGGCATCGCTCAAAGGCCAAAAGGAAAAACCTCAGAGCCGCAAAAACTGAAAAAAAAAAAAAAAAAAAAAAAAAAACTTCCAGCAAAAATCGTCTTTTACCTCTCATCCACCATAACATAAAAACCATCGCCTTTCGTCTTTGCCTTTTTCCTCTTTTTTTTTTTTTCTTGTTTGCTTTTTCCTTTGTGTTTCTGTTTTTTTTGTTTGTTTGTTTTGGGCGGTTGTGTTATCATTGTTGTTGTTGTTTTTGCGTGCAGCCTCCTTCCCCGTCAGCGCCGTCACTCAACCCCACTGCCCCCAGAGAATAGAAACTCCTTCTGAAGTCACTGATGGTATTTTTTTCTGCCGTTGAATAGTCACTCTGGTCAAGGGACTTGCTCACTTAAAGACGGGCGTTTTGCCCCCTTGCAACGACGCATGGTTGGGGTGCGAACGGCATCCGTAACACAGCGGCTGTTGACTCTACATTCTGTTGGTGACTGCGCCGACAATTGTGACGACAGGTCTGATGCAACGGCCGACGCAGCGGCAGATGCCAGCCTTGCCCTGGGAAGCGACGGCGGTGTGTGCAGATGCGCGCCGGGGTTCACCGGGTCACGGCCACAGAGTGTCATCAGCGCCTGGCACAACTCTTTTGTCGCCTCCTCGGATCGTGCGACCAATGTCAATTGCGTCAAATCGGTGATTTTTTGAGTGTCAATGTTGAGAACGACACTGCAGACCTTTATGCCAGCAAAAAGTTGGCAGTTTAAGATGCAATCCGACGTGAAACTCACGCCCATAAAGTCCACATCATCAGCAGGGTCGTCTAGCAATATCGAGACCTCGCCGGGGGTAAAACTGATCGTGACTGTGGAATTCAAGCCCGTGTACCTCACGGTACTTCGCAGGTGAGAAACGGAGCTCTCGCAAACGGCGTCCAACGTGACGTTATTCATCGTCAGCACGTCAAAGCAGGTTCGGTACGCGACGTTTCGTGCAAGAGTTGCTTTCACGTCGTTTATGCGTAATGATTGCCTCTGCAACTCGGAGAGGATAAGAGACAACACCTCCGAGGTGTCACGACTGCCCATGACTTTTGGGTCATCTTTAGGGCCGACCGTTTTTGCTGAGCCTTCGGCCAAAAAGAAATCACCCGTTGCCTCCGGGTGATCCTGATCGCGCAGCCACGCTGGCAGTGGCCTCTCGATTTCTTCACCCTGGTATTCAGTAGCACTCATACCTACGTCTCCTCCCTTTCCCATCACACACAAAAGGAGAGGAGAACAACAAGGCAAAAAAAAAAATTTTTTTAAGTAAAAATAAATGAAGATAATAATAATAATAATAATAATAATAATAATAATAATAGTAATAATAATAATAATAGTAATAATGGTAAGTGTCAAACTCAGCTCATGAAAAGGGAGATGACTACACACACAGAAACATGTATGCATGTACATATGTACCTTTGCATGTATGCAATTATATGTATATATATATATATATACACTTGCATACATGCACTCACACTCATTACAGAAGAGATGGTAGCGTGTGCTCAATGTGTGTTTTGGGGGAAGGGGATGAGTTCGGAAGTATTTTGCCTTTGCGCCTCGATCATCAACTGGCGTTCTAAGAACAAGAAAAGAAAAAAAGAAAAAAAAGACTGTTATGCGCCAAAGATAAAACAATAATAATAATAATAATAAAACTAAATCGAATTTCTCCGAGTTTTGTATTTCAGCTTTCCTGTTAAGTTGCGCCCCCTCCCCTCCCCTCTCCCACATCCAAATTGGGCTCGGTCCGTGAGCATGAGGTTCCCCCATCCAGCAGAAACACCGTCTTTACTTCTACCCCATCGAATTACATTCTTATTCCCCTTATTCGAGGGCGCAGTTGCCCCCTCCAGGCTACGTGTGTCCCTCTCCCCCCATCCCATCCCATCTCACCCCCACCCCCTGCCGAGGGGGAAAAAAAAAAAAAAAAATCCGGAAAAAAAAAAGGGGGAGGGGGGAGGGGAAATAAGATGAAAATGATGTAGAACCTTTGCAAATATGTATACTGGCAATTGACTGAGATGAATCGCTGGCTTGTTCTTGATATTCTTCTTTTCTTCCTTAACCTCATTCTTCCTCTACCTTACTTTATTGCCTCTGTTCACATCACCACAGGCTTTACACACATGCAAAATCAGTATCACTCCCCGCCGCGAGAGCACCACCGCGAGAGAGACCACAGCACGGACAGTACGGACCAAACAACGCCGCCGTCCCTATTGGTGTTCGCAATGTGCTCCTCCCCAAGGGGAGGTGTACATTGGGGCGGTGCCATCATGGGATCCCCCACTGCTGGCTCCACGCACACACTACGATGATCACAGCTGCTACGGGCAGTAGCTGCAGCAGTAACAGTACTATTAACGCCCTTGTAACGCCGTCGCCGCCTCGTGTCACGGGCGGACATCATTGGAATTCCCTCACCCTGCATGAGCTTCATACAAACAGGACATATGGACGCCCGCTGCCTCCAACTTTCTAGACACTGCAGGTGAAAACCGTGCCCACACAAGACAACAATCGCAGGATTGTCAAGTGTAAAACGCTCCAAACAAATAGGACACGAAGACAAGCGATACTCACCCACCACAAAAGTATCCTCTGACTTTCCAGTCTTCCCCGTGTCGCTGTAGCTAGAAAAACTGCCGGAGTTGGGCAAAGGCCCCGCAGGGGATGAGAGGGAGTCGGAACTAGGAAAATATGAAAACTGCGTCTCCTTGAAAGGTGGGTCCATGAATTGCCAATATAACGCGTTGACGTTCCTTCCTCCCTTCCTTACGGTTGTGTTTGATGTTGCTGTTGGTGCCTGTGCGGCCTCCTTTTATTTCCTCCTGTCTTTGTGTCAGTTTCTTCTAATGCTTGTTTTATTGGAACTGGTGGAACTAATAATTCTCTCTTTGGGATTACAGGCGTATATTTGTGAGGGCACACACTACCGCCCAGCTGCCCACCCGCCCAAAAAAAAAAAAAAAAAAAAAAAAAAACGATCCTTTGCGGAGACCACACAAAAATTGCAAGACAAAAAAAAATAATAATAATAATAATAATCCAAAGGACAAACAAAAAAAGGGAAGGCAAGACCCTTGTTTCTACGTGACAGCCATGCAGACTTTTAAAAAGGGCGGTGTATGTCGAAAAGACGAGGAGAAAAAAGAAAAAAAAGGTGCGAATAACATTCCCCTCACGCTCTTCCCGCCCCGTCGCTGCCGGTGTCTTCTTTGTGGACAAACCGGCCGGGAAAAAGAAGTCGCTTCACGACCGTCGGCGCGAAGCGCTTTGGATCGGTGTCCACCGGGAGTCCTGCCAGCTTCTGGCGCGCCTCCTCCTTTTCCTGCGACACCATAAACTCGTAAAACTCAGGGTCAAAAAAGCGCAGCGCCAACTCGAGAGCTTGACGCACAACAACAACGGAGAAAATAATCCCCACGACGCCCATCACAAAGTATGAAAAAAGAGCAAACAACGTGACACGATCCACGTGTCGCGTGATACCTCTCGAGGTGCTCAAAAGACTGCGGTAAAGCGCAGGGGCGGAGCCGTTTTGGTGCCACAAGCTTGTCGGTGTGGTGGCCATCTTGTACGCCGTCTGAATCGTATCATACTGCGCCTTTGCGTCCCCCTGCGCCGTGTCGGGGTGTGTAGCAAAAACAAGATCCCGGTAACGCGAGCGAACCTCCGCCAGCTCCGCGTGCTCTGGCAGCCCCATCACCCGCAGCGGGGAGCCGTGCAGCCTCAGCCACAGCTGCTCCTTCTCCAACTCCTGCACACGCTCCATGCCGGCCTGCAAGTTTATTGCTAAACTTCTATGGAGACTACGCGGAGTAACGGCAACGTACAGGCGGCGAAAAAGTTGAGCAAAACGCCCAGGACGGTAACTGTGATGCTCGCCGGTCGTCGCATGCCGCATCGGCGTCAACGAACATGAGGCCAAAATCCCCACACGAGCCGCGCCACCCCGCACCGCTGGCATGACCCGCTAAAAAAAGAAGAAAAAAAAAACCTCTAAACTGAGTTGTAATTTAAAAAGCGCATCACCGCAAGCAAAAATATAATTAATGTCATCGCACAGCTGCGCGTTTGCTTCGTTCTGCCCACACAGTCATGTAACCCCCTCCTCACAGCAAGAAACAAGGGTAATCCGTCACAAGCACACACGCACAGGCAGAAAAAGTGTGTACGACAAAAAAAAAAACAACATGAAAAGTGATGCTTTCATGACATGTATAAATATATATATATATATATTAAACAAACTACAAGGCGTAAAACCGACACAACACCGCCCGAGAGTCAAAAGTACTTCCATGCAATTCACTAACAACCCTGGCAGCCTTTGCCTCCGAGGAAAATGTACACACAAACGCGACATGGTCGTCAAAGGAAACACTGTCGCCCTCCTCATGCCGTGCCCTCTTCTTCGCCTTCCCCGGACCCGTCCCATCACCGTCTTCGCCTTGCTTCTCCTTCACCTTGTCTTTGGCGGGACTTTCGGTGTCGCTTTTGTCATCGTCATCCACCAGAATCGCGTGGTGTGCCACCTTCTCCTTCGCAACTTCCTCTACTTTTTCCAGTACCGCCGTCACGAACTGCTGCAATGAATCTTCTGCCACAAGCTGTCGGTAGGCCTCAAGCGAGACGATGTTGGTGATGAGAACATGCGGCGATGGCGCACCAGCGGCGGTAATGTTGCTCGAATCCAAGAGCCGCTTTCTTTTCTTATACAGTGACTTCTCCTTCTTCCGTTGCTCCCACCGCCTCTCAATGTCGCTCACGATGCATTGCACAATATCCTGCACAGTCATCTGCTGCAAGGCCGCCTCCTTCAAAACACGATTCATCCAAAATCCGGCAACGGAGTCCCACTGCTTCTCGAAAAAGTGATGGTTCGGCCTTTCCTTCACACTCTCAGGCATCTGGAGGTCCTGTCGTGTGAACTGGAGCCTCTTGCCTGTGCTTCCCCAAATCACCAGCGCAGTGGAGGCGTATGAGTCCATTGCCCCAATATATTTATTTATTTTTATCTGCTCCTGCGACAAAAATATACGGGCGCCTTTTCCTTCTGGTTCTTTTTTTTTTTTTTTTTTTTTTTTACAAAGAGGTGAAAAAAAAGGGACTTCTCACCTCGCCCCATGAAGTCGTAAAGAAAAAAAAGAAAAAAAAAGAAAAAAAAGTAACATGATGTTGTGTGTGTGTGTGTGTGTGTGTTTTACAAATCTACGCCGTTGATTCCGCCACAGAAACGGCATGCCGTCCGTTTCATCTCTTTTATTTACAAAAAAAAAAAAAATTTTTAGAAAATAAAAATAAAAAACTTAAACTGCGTGCGTCTTCTACTTTCGTCCAGAAACCCCAAACTCCCACACTTTTTTTTTATTTTTATTTTATTAATCTTTTCCTCGTTATTCCCCTTTTCTTTCCTTGTGTGTCTTGTGTGAACACTGACATACTTTTCTTAAGTCACACAAGCACACGCATAGTTTACTCCGTTCATTCTATTCTTTGCTCCTATTCTTGCTGACCTCCCCAGCGGCAATGGGAGCCGCATCGAAAAAAAAAAAAAAAAAAAGGCTGCGAGAAAATACATTCTGCAGGAGAGTTTTCATTGGGAGTAAAAAAAGAAAAAGGAGAAAAAAAAAAAAAGAACAGGAGGCGTTTCTCGTTTACTTTCCCGCGCGGCGCTTCGTGTTAGAAAGGGGCGGAAGTCGTGGCTCTGTTGTTTTCCGGACCGGCTGACGGGTGAACGGTGAATGAAGCACGCCAAAACGCTGCCGTGGGCTTGAAACGGAAAGGTTGTTCCGGCTCAAGGAGGTGGAAATCTCCAATGAACGCGTTGCGGGCGTCAACTGCGGGGTAAAAGCGGCGGCGGAGGACACGACGGCCTTCTCCTTGAGGGCGGCGGAGATCTGCGCGATGGTTTCGGACGGGAGAAGGGTGCCGTCCAGCCCCAAGTGAAGCAACTTTGACTGCGGGCTCCGTGCCAGCCGAAGGAGGCCGCGACCAGCAAGCAAAGGAATGGGATTGAACGACAAGTTCAGCGAGACCAGCGTTGGATGCTGACCGACCGTCTTCGCTAGCTGCTGGAATAAGGTAAGGTTATCGATGTTGTTGCTGCTCAGGTCCAGTGCCTCAATGGTGCGACTGACTTCCAGCATAGGCAACAGAAATCTCACCCCTCGCGGGTGCTTCGCAAAGACACCGCTGCAGTCGAGAGTTGGACATGGCGGCTCATACGCCCCGGACACCGCAAAACGGAAATTTCGCAAGATTGTAAAGGCACTACAAAAATTATTCTCCAGCATACGACAATAACGAAGATAACACAGGCGGTGCGCTGCCATAAGAGCAATGATGGCAGCTCGAAAAATACTCCGAGGCCTCAATCCATGTCTTTTCAATTCCGTCTCGTCTCGGATAGAATTCCCCATGTTCATGCCCAGTTTAATCCATGGATGCTTCAACGCCTCACGAGCACTAAGACGGCGGTTTGGGTCTACCACGAGCAGCATGGAGATAAAATCACGCAAAGACGCGGACCCCTCGGCAATCCTGCCACTCTTGAGGTTGCAACGCCCGCCACAAATTGCGTCCGTTAGCTCCCTATGCGATCGTCCAGTAAATGGATACGTCCCAGTGACCATAAAATACACCATCACACCTATTGCCCACATATCAACAGGCTTCCCGTAGCTTGTGTCGCCAAATATCTCGGGCGCCATAAAGACGGTGGTGCCACAAAAGGACATGAGACACTGGTCCGAGCCTACAAGAACAGAAAACCCAAAATCAGATATTTTACATACCAAATCGCCCTCGGAAAGAAGGCAATTCTCCGGTTTCATGTCGCGGTGTACAATCCCGTTTTGGTGGATGAACTCTAAAGCTAAAAGGAGCTGCGTTGTAATCCGACGAGCTTGGGCCTCACTAAAAATCCCATCTCGAAGAACGGCACTCCGCAACTCTCCACCCGGCATGTACTCCATTACAATCCACAAATTCTCCTCGTCTTGAAACGTCTCTTCAAGCCGTACAATGTTTGGGTGTATCAATAGACTCATCGTCTCCACCTCTCCCATGACCCATTTCAGTCCTTTGGCCCCCGCCTTCTTCTTGTTGATAATTTTCACCCCATATGGACGTCTCATAGAATCAAACCGACGGTGACACCTCCAGACAGTTCCGTAAGCCCCCTTTCCAATCTCCACCTCAAGCTCGTACCGTTGATCAAAAGAAACACCCCTCTTCAAAGAGGTCCCTTTACATACCTCCGTCAAAGTTGACTGTAGTGCCTGGAAGTCCATTTAAACAATTTCCTCCCTAAAAATTGTATTTATGTATATATGTATGTATACAAAAGAAAAACCCCTCTTTATATTCCTTTTTTTTTGTTGTTGTTGTTGTTTTCGTTTTTGTCTTGTTGTTTGGAGGGGAGTCTCCCTCTGTCTAGGCCCTCTCACGTCAGTCAACCGCCTTCGGATACGGCTCAGTCGATTCTGAAATGGGCACTCGCAGGAAGAGAAGGAGGAGGAGAGACACACACACACACACACACGGAGAAAAAAAAAAGGAAAAAAAGAAAATGCATCCACCACCGTCAGTCTTCAGGGCCACCGTTAACAATGGAGGTTTACGCGCATAATAAACTCAACAAGAAAATATATATATATATGTATGTATATATACAGAAGAGTGTCTGACAGAAGAGAAAGAACAAAAACAACAACAACAACAACAGGGAAGAAGGGATCATCATTTTGCGTGAAGTACAGAAATGCAGGCATCCCCCACCCACTCCGCCACACATGCACAGACAAATTAAGCTCAGAGAAACACAAACACAATCAAAAGGAAACAGAAGATAGAAAAAAAAAAAAAGGGTGGAAACACGGCTGCATACATCACCATCATTGCCGCTAATTACATCACATTCAATGAGTAACAACAGCTACGAGGTGCTGCTGACGGTGCCTCGCTCGCGAAGCTTGTCACAGAGCCAATCCATCCCCTCAATGAGTCCCTCACCGGTCTTTGCGCTGCTCCTCACAATTGTCCAGGTGCGATTCGTCAACGATGCGACCCCGAGCAGCTGCGCAACCTCAGTCTCGCTCGCCGCACCCATCGCGTCCTGCTTGTTGGCAAATATAAGCAGTAGACTTTCTCGCAGCTCGTCCTCGTCTAGAAGGTTGTACAACTCGTGCTTAGCGACCCCCATGCGATCCTTGTCACTACTATCCACAACGTAAATAATGGCATCCGTGTCAGTGAAGTAACAGCGCCAAAAAGGCCGAATGTTCGCCTGACCGCCCAAATCCCACACCTCAAACGATATGTTCTTGTAATTCATCGTCTCCAGGTTAAACCCCACTGTAGGAACAGTGGACACGACATTGCCCAACTGCAGACGGTACAAAATAGACGTCTTCCCCGCATTGTCGAGGCCTAAAATAAGTACACGGATTTTTTTGTCAGCTGGTAAAAAGCCCAACGCGGCCTTTATCTGAGAGATCCAGGCGCCCATAAATGAAAAAACGCCTTCTGCTGCAATGCAATACAATGTCCGTGCACGTGTACGTGAGGCTCCCCCCTTTTTCTTCCCACCCTGTTGCTGCTGGTAACAATTTATCTTTTGTTTATTCTTTTTTTCCCACCCTTTTTTTTTTCCTTTTGCTCCAGCCACAGCGTGAATTACTTTTCCCCTACTTCCACAAGAATAATAGTAATAGTAATAACAATGCAAAAAAGACGGCGGCAACAAGGCATGCACACAAGTACACAACACACACACATACATACATACATACACACACGCACCCAGCATCATCACCGCCCTTCTGGCAGACACAAAAATAATAACAATAATAAATGCTTCCGCATTGGAGTTGGCATTTTTTTTTTGTCCCCCGTCTAAGAGCGAAGAAGGTCCAACCACACAGACCAGAAGACGGACGCCAATGAGGCGGTGGCGGACGGCACCAAGCTGTCGGCAGACTGCACAACAATAAATTTTTTGGCGGCAGGAGTATCCCCCGCCGTTGTTAGCAGATACGACGGCCACGTCACGTTGTTTCCAGTAATCCTGTACGTCGCAGTGCCAGGCGCAGACACTGTGGGTTGCTCCAAATGAAGAGACACGCTGGACAACGCAGCGTGGTAGAGAGTGCAGCTGGCTCGCACAGTGGCGTCAAGAGCGCAAAGTGTCACCAGACTGCTCGCTGGGCCACGTTCTTTAAAAAATGCCGTAAGTGGGTCGTCGCTGCGGGATTCAACGAGAGCTTTTTTTGCTTCCCATGCGCTGAAAAGCCATGCAACTGCCTTGGATGCACCTGCATCCTTCGCCAGATTGCCAAACTCACTCCACGAGCTAAACGAAAAGGCTGCCGCCGGATCATAAAAGGATGGCATGTAAAGAACAAAACGCAGCTCGGGTTCTGCCAACACCTGAGATGTGGACACATTATCTACCGCAAGGCTATATCCCTTTTCGAAGATGTGCACCACTGCGGACTGCTTAAATCGCTGCAGACGATCCGGGTCGTGGCGCCCCAAATAGTTCAGCGCCGACGCCAAGTTGGTTAAACTGGCAAACGCAAAATATTTCACGCTATCGTCAACAGACATTCCGTTCAGAAGGGCGTGAAGCGCTTCCGAAGCATTCACCCTCACGTCAAATGAATTGGGTGGAAAACTGTACGCCGCGCCAAAAGAGCTTGTGACATCTGCACGGGAGTACGGCATCCCACGGCGCAGCGCATCATGCGGAGTGGAGGGGAACCCTTGGCTGTGACGGCATCCACCACGAGACAGCACCGTGTTGTAATCATCTGCTGTTGCTCGCAACGCTCCTATCGACACGGTAACACCCTTCAGCTGCGAAAGCAAGAAGAATCGGCAAATGTTGCGTGCCACAGTCGCAGCGTGGCCCCACGTCATCCCAGAGATAGTAATGAGACTCAGTTGGCTGCGGAGGTGCGGGCTCTGCATGATCGTTGTGAGCGAGGCATAGTCGTCCACGGAGCCATCAACGTCCATAATAATGTGCGTCCGGGCCACAGCAAGAAGCGGGGCACCGCAGAAAAACCAAAGCAGCAGCAAAAATGGCACATGCGTCATGAATGCCGCCGGCACCGTGTTGGTGCGGCGGGGGCATATAAAAAAGGCAGAAAACATCACTGCCATAAAATCAACACTTAAAAAAAAAAAAAATCAAAAAAGAAAACCACAAAGTTCGCATAAACTGTCCCCTTCTAAAGCCAGATAAAACGCCACATCATCTCTTTTCCTTCTTATTCTTCCCAACCGTTTCTCCTCTTGTTCACCAAAACTCCCAACCCCCCAACCCCCAGCAATGACCACCACCCGCTCACTCCTCCTCGTCAACCAATATACGCTCCACGTGGTTCTCCATCTGAAAGCCGCAGCCCCAGCACTGCGGGTGAAACACGTCATCGCCCGTAGTGGGCTCGTTTTGGTCCGCCTGCCGGCGATACCGCAGTGACTCCACAGTGAACTCGCATTCCAACGGCACCGGGTCATCCTTGAGAAAAAGGCCGTAGTAACGGCGGTCATCATCTGAAAGCCACGCCTCCGCGCTGAGCCGGCTAAACGCAAAAAAGTTGTTGTTGCTGGTGGAGGAAGCACTCTTGCGCTGCACCACCCCGCGGCGAGCCCCCGTCACATATGCGACACCACGGCCTGCGTTCTCCGCACCTTCCCTCCCGGTAGCCGTGGCCATGTCATGTGTAAAGCGCATCTCAAAGTAATCGACCGGGCTTTCCTCCACGAGACATCGCACGAGACCCGACACAAGCTGTGGCAGCACGACACATGGGGTTGCCATCAATGACCACACAAGTCGCCGTCGACCAAACTCAGAAAGTTGCCCCACCTCGCACAGCCGCACAGTATGGGAACTCCACTCGCTTCCGGCAAAACGTAGTGAGGACACAAGTGTTACATTTGTGTTCTGCAAGAAGCGTTCAGCGGTGACCCCGTCAGGAGATAACGTCATCGCTGCCGCACCACTCGCCTCCTGCGCGGCAAAAGTGGTGTGAAGCGGAAGATTCACAAACACGTCCCAGAGTGCAAAGACGGGGTTGACTTCCGTCATCGTCAGCCTCTCTGGCTCCGTCACCAACGTGGAACCCAATACCCACTCCAGTTCCACCCCCACATCCTGCGCACGCTGCGTAAAATATTGTTGTGTCACCCTTGAAGAAGCGCACAGGCAGAAGCACAGACGAGAATTTTCAATGGCCAGCATCGCCATGAGATCCTTCAATCGAGGGTGTTCTGTGATGCGTAAAAAGAAAACGTGATGGGTACAGTGCTCTTTTGAAAATCCGGTGCAACAGAGATCACGCAGCTCAGCAAAGCGGTAAAAGACATCTTGTAAGGCTTGAAGATACTTCCAGTAGTCCAACTCGGCAGTTGTGGCGACTGAAGAAAGAGCAGATGCGCCGGTATGAGAACGGGTAGCGTGCGCAGGATAAAGAAGAGTGTTGCGGCTTGCCGGCAGAGCACTTATATAGTAAACACCGCCGTACTTTGTGGCGGATGCTTGTAACATCTCCTGCAGCATCGAAAGGCCCCTTAAAAGCCCGGCATCATTCAAACCATCACCCGCGTCCTCTTCGGGCCCTGCCACGTTGATCACCAGCTGCAGACCCTGCATAACGGCATAAAAAGGTACTTTGGGGTACGCACGCCACTCTTTACCTCGCTGAGGTGCCAACGCTGGCGCTGCGGACGGCTGCGCAATCGAGATGAAAGGCCGTCGCTCGTCACCGCCGTCGATATTTTGCCTGTCGCCCTTCGCGGTCTTTTCGGCGTCTCCCAAAACACCGCGACGAATCGCGGCAGACTTAAACGGGGGATGCGACGTCGTGGAGGGCATTGACGCTGTTCTGCTGCCACGGCTCCGGCCCCCCTGCCCACCACCACCAATACCCCACACAAGCACACACAGAGGTAGAAACAAATAAATAAAAAGAAAAAGAAAAAAGAAACAAAGGGAGAAGCAACGCAAATAAGAAAAAAAAAAAAAACGGACCAACAGGCAGGCAGAGAAAAAAAAATTCTTTTTTATAAAAAATAAAAAAAGGATCGTTTTCTCTACGGTGCCGAAACTAGAAATGGCCGCAGCACTCTCAATCTGTCACCGGCTACAACGCGTAGCCCCGACTCTGAAGACGCTCAAGCAGTTCGTTAATCCTCGCGTCCAGGCAGCGGACCACGTCGCTGTCCTGATCCAGCGCACCGGCACTCCCCTCCAGGATAATACGACGCTCAGAACGCAGACGCTCTACTTCTTTTGCCACCGGCGCGACATCGGCAGCCGGCACCTTCGAAATCACGTCGCCCACCGCCAACTCTTTCTTCTTTTTTAATGTGTCTGTGACGCCTGCAGTGGCGTCTATCGCCGATTTTCGCCGCAGCCTGTGCTCTATTTTTTTTTTCGCCGAAATGAGCTGTTCCACTTCCTCGGCGGTGCGTCGCATTTGCTCCTTGCGTTTGGTTGCCAACGCCGTAAGGCGCTTGTTTTCCTCTTCAAGCTCACGGCAGCGCCGTGTCAGCTGCTCTTCACGCTCCATGTGTCGCCGCTCAAGACGGTCCTGTAGCGCCTGCTGCTCCACCGCAAACTCCCTCCGCAGCCGAGTCTCGACGCTGGTCGCCTTCTCAGAAGGTCCCGCGAGTTCCCGCGTGCGAAATCGATGGAACTCCTCTGAGAGCGCCAAGTAATCGCGCTGCGCCTGCTGCAACCGCTCCTCCGCGCGTTTCGTTTGTGCCTCTGCTGCCTGTATACGTTGTTCCTGCAGCGCCACCGCGTGTGCGGCGTCTTCCTTTGCCCGCTTCACCTCCGCCTGCGCCTCTGCCTCCGCACGCCGCCGAGCGTCCGCCAACTGCTGACGCATGTGTTGCATGTCCTTCTCCATTTCCGCCAGCCGCCACTTTCGCTTCTCCATCTGCTTCTCCTCCTCCACCAAACGCTGCTCCCTGCGTCCAATCTCTCGCTCCCGGAGCTCGCATCTCTCAGTGGCCTGCTGCTCCCTCAATTTGACAAATTTGGCGAGTGCCGCAAGAGCCCTCTTTTTCTGCTCCTCTAACTGCCGCCGTAGCCGCGCGGCCTGAATGGCCTTCCAGAGCTCCACGTCCCACGCCGCGCGGTATTCCACTGTCCCGCGCACATCTGCTGCAACAGCCGCAGCCACCGCCTTCCGCTCCTCCCCGCGGCCATTTTTCGACGCAGCCCAGGCTGTAAAATTAGCAGCTGCTGCTGCCGCCGGAGTCGATCTTGTCGGAGTGGGTGGAGTATCGCCGGATGTAAAATTGACGGAGGGCGCCGGTGTGGGAGACGGTCTAACGTACGCTTCACTGGCCGACGCACTCCCCCCACTCATCGCAAAACAACAGGAGGGTGGCAGTCCAGCAGCACTTCTGTCGGCAGCCCCCTTGATAATCCCTCTCTCGGGTGTCCTGGGGAATAGTCTATCTATGCACCGTCGTCCCCCACGGTCTACTGCTGCCGCAACATAAAGAAAGAAAAAAAAAAAACTTTTAACATTAAAAATTAAATATTTTGATTAAATTATTTATTGATAAAAAATACAAACACAAACACACACACACACACACCATGCCCACCAATAACTCACAGCAATGTTGAAATGACACTTCGTGGCAATTGTACACATCGAGTCCCCAAGCATTACTATTACCATTGTTGCTCTTATTATTTGCTCCTGCTTTAAAAAAAAAAAAAAAAAAAGCAAACCACGGCGGGGTCAAAAAAGTGTTTCTGCTGAGGATCAGGGAAGAGACATCTCTCACTCCTTTCAAAAAGTCCCGCTCCCACTTCTGTCTATCATTCGGAATCCTTTTTTAAATTTATCACTGTCCCCCTCCACCACCGTCATCAGCCCTCTTCGTGTGCGTGGCTGTGTGTGGGCTCCTTATTTTTTTCTCTTGCTGATTTCTCCCGTCTTCCTTCTCTCTTCTTTGTTTTTGTTTGTTTGTTTGTTTTTTTTATTTTGGTCATGTCCAATTCCTTCACACTTTTCGGTCCATTGCCGTCCTTTTATTATTATTGTTGTTTTTGTTGCCTTGTCGCTCCTACGTTATTTTACCAACATTGAACCCCATGGATCGTGCCAGGAACAGGAGCAAACGAGGCAAGGCAGAGTGCTCCTCCTCCTTTTTTTTTTTTCTTCTCAGTCGTCCCCAGACATCTGCATGCTCCCTCGCAGTTCGCCCCACTCAGCAACAAACCCGTCCGCAACTCAATTGTGTCCCCCGCCGTCACGCCCCCTCCACTCTGTGTCTTAAGGCGCCGTTTCAATATTATTATTTTTTTTTTGCATATTTTTTTTTTTCTGTTCTCCTCTCTCTTTCTGTCTGCGTGTGTGGCCCCACTCACGCCACACGCTGCAGCATGGCCTCGACAGCCGAAAGCGTCGGACTGCCCTTGTATATCTCCAACAGTTTCTTTTCTGCCCACGCCCGCAGTTCCACCGCTTCGTCTTTCGTCCGCTCACCATCCGACGACTTCGGAGCCGCCTTCGCCTGCCGCACTACTTCGTTGGCCGTAAGCCAGAGGCCATACGCGGCCCGGCAGTTGTTCGCGTGGCCATTGAGACGCAATGACTGTGCGTACTCAACAAGGCAGCGTTTGTAGTCGCCTACAATGTAGTACAGCTCCGCCAGGCGTGTGTGAGAAAGATATTCGTTGCTGTTGAACAGCATTGCCTCATCGGCGTAGTGAAGAGCCATGCGATAGTCCTCGCAGAGGTAGTAGAGGTTTGACAACTCACGGTAGACGGAGAGACTGTCGCCGCGGTGTACCTCAAGAAATGTGTGCTTCTCACCATTCTCATCGGTGTACACCTGCTGTTTTTCTAATAATTCAATGGCCTTCTGGTACTTCCCCTCACTTTTTAACATGGTGGAAAGACGCAGGACGGCGAACTGATCCGTCGGATGCTCCTTCAGGATGGCGCGGTACAAACGCTCCGCCTCCACCAACTTCGCCTCCGCCTCCAGACACAACCCTTCAAGATGACGCACCCGCACCGATTGCTTCCCAAACCATTTATACAGGACTGAAAGATATTGCCGCGCCATGTCAACTCTGCCACAGTCCAGCGCCGCAATAAGAATCTGCTCGTAAATGCATGACAGTTCCGTGGAGCCGATGCCTCCAGTGCCGCCAGCAAGAAGATCCGTCCCTAGCAAGAGAACAACGTTCGCGCTGCGTGATGGGTTCTCGCGGTGCTGCCGTAGGAGCTGACGCTTTTGATCCCTTGAAAGCTGCTTCACGTCAAGGGGCGTTAGTGACTGCAGTGAGACCGGTGCCTCGGTCATTTCTCGCTCTACTCTCTGTTATCTTCGTCTTCTTTAGTTCCTTCTTTAACTTCGCTTCTCGTTTTCTCGCCCTTGCGACGGTTAATTCCTCTTTGCAGTGCGGCTTAGGGCTGCAGGCTGCCGCAGAGACACACAGTAAGAAAAGAATTCCCTCCGCCTTTTAAGAAGCTCGCTGCGCACCACCACCTCCTTGTACTGCCACAAAAAAGACGGCCGCGTAGGGTAAATAGGCAAGAGACAATTAACACAAACACGCAAGAAAAAAACAATAATAAACGACTATTCCCTCAATAAAAAGAGGCGGTGGAATTCGTCAGGCAGCAAAAGGTACCGGGCGGGGCCAACCACACCGCGGTAGCCCGACAGAAAGGCAAAAAAAAAGAAAAAAGGAGGCGGACGGCGGCGAAGATGTTTGGGAGTACAACAGCGCACGGCCACCGTGTCGCCCGACAATGAAAACGTAAAAGGGCATGGCTTTTACTTATAAGTGCGATGGAAGATTTCAAACACAAACCCCAATAAAAAATAAAAAGACAAACAAAAGCCCATTTCCCCCTCCTACGCGCCAAAATAAATATATGAAAAAAAAAAATGATGATAATAAAAGTGGATTACCCCTCGTTTGTTTTATGTTTTCTTCTTTTTTCTTCTTTCTTCTTTATTGTGCGTTTTCAATGCCCTCTAAGGGCAAGCATACATGTATGGATATGTATATATATATATATATATATGGTGGCATTGAAAGAGAGGCGGTGGCGGTAACAAAACTACACCGCACGCATTTCTATTCATCCCCCCCCCCCCCACGTCACAGCCTTGGCTTCACGCGTTTGGCCGCCAGAAAAACAATTTGCCGCGTCAATTCATACGACTTGGCAAGTGACGAGAGAGGCAAAAATTCAAACTTCGAGTGGAAGTTGTGCGCACCGGTGAAGTAATTTGGCGTCACGATGCCCTTCGAGGAGAGTACCGCCCCGTCGGTTCCGCCACGCATCGCTATCACTTTCGGCTCCACGCCCAAAATGCTCAATGCCTCAAAAATAATATCGAGCGCCGTGCGGTCCTCGCCCAAAAAGTCGGAAATGTTACGGTACACATCCTCCGTGTGTACATGCACACGGCCGGTGGGGTGCAGCTGCTGAATCTCGTTGGCCACCTCAATCATTTTCTGCTTGCGCTCCTTAAACTTATTCAAATCAAACTCACGAATCATCGCGTGAAGGACGGCCTCGTTCTGAGTTGCGGTCATTTCGGCAAACCATTGGGTAGCCTTCCTTACCCTCCGTGCACTCCGGGGTTTCTTTGCGGTCAAACCGTGAAATGAAGTCAACGGCCATCAACAACGGATTCACCAAAACCCCCTTCG